TTGCCTCCATATTTCTGAGCAGGGACCAGGACAACTTCCCCACTTGGATTACAGACAGGCTCAGGGGATACAATGCCATGCCTAGGGTCAGGGACAATCTAGTTAAGGAACTTCTGGAGAGGCTGGATGTGTTTAAATCAGCAGGTCTGGATGCTCTTCATCCGAGGGTACTGAGGGAATTGGTGGAGGTCACAGCAGGGCCCCTGGCATAGCTGTATGAGCACTCATGGTGCTCTGGCCAGGTCCCAGAGGACTGGAAAAGGGCCAGTGTAGTCCCCGTTTACAAGGGGAGAAAGGAGGACCCGGGTAACTATAGGCCAGTTAATCTCACCTCAGTCCCTGGGAAGATCTTTGAGAAAATTATCAAGGAGCACATCTGTGGGGGCCCAGGATGGGAGGTAATGCTCAGGGGTAACCAACACAGGTTCACTGTGGGAAGATCCTGCCTGACTAACCTTGTTTCCTTTTACAACCAGGTCACAAAGTCCTTGGATGTGGGTGCTGAGGTGGATGTTGTCTATCTGGACTTCAAGAAGGCCTCTGACACCCCATGCTCATAAAAAAAACTAGGAGACTGTGGCGCTGATGGCACAGTCAGATGGGTGGCAAATTGGCTTCATGGTCACACCGAGAGTGGTGGTGGACGGGTCATTTTCGACCTGGAGGGATATGGGCAGTGGAGTTCCCCAGGGCTCGGTTCTCGGGCCTGTGCTATTCAACATCTTTATCAGGGACTTGGAGGTGGGTGTGGAAAGCGTGCTGTCCAAATTCCTGGATAACACTAAGATGTGGGGAGAAGGGGGCACGCTAGAGGGGAGGGACTGAATCCAACTAGATCTAGACAGGTTACAGAAATGGGCAGATGAGAATAGGATGGAATTCAACACAGACAAGTGCAAGGTGCTGCATTTAGGGAGAAGGAACCTGCAACATACCCATAGGCTGGGGGACACCCTTCTCAAGAACACAGTAGCTGAACAGGATCATGGAGTCATAGTTGACTCCAGGATGGATGTGAGCCACTAATGCAAGGAAGCAGTCAGTAAGGCTAGCCGCATCTTGTCATGCATCTACAGATGCATCACAAGCAGGTCCAGGGAAGTGATCCTTCCCCTCTATGTGGCGCTGGTCAGGCCGCAGTTGGGGTACTGCATCCAGTTCTGGGTGCCACACTTCAAGAGGGATGTGGCTAATCTTCAGAGGGTCCGGAGGAGGGCCACTTGCATGGTCAGGGGGCAGTAGGCCCTCCGAAGATAAACTAAAGGACTTGAATCTATTCAGCCTCCACAAGAGAAGACTGAGAGGGGATCTGCTGGCTGTCTATAAACTCACCAGGGGGGACCAGCAGAAAATAGGTGAGGCTCTGTTCCCTGGGCACCACCTGGGATAACAAGGAATAACGGCACAAACTGATTGATAGCAAGTTCAGGCTTGATATCAGGAGGCATTACTTTACGGTTAGGGCTGCCAGGCTCTGGAATGGGCTCCCAAGGGAGGTGGTGCTCTCGCCTACCTTGGGGGCCTTCAAGAGGAGGTTGGATAGATATCTGGCTGGGGTATTATAATCCCAGCACTCGTTCCTGCCCAGGGCATGGGGTCAGACATGATGATCTGTTCAGTTCCCTTCTGACCCTAGACACTATGAAACTATAAGTTCAAGTGTAGTGATTTGCAGAGGCTATTCATGCTGATGCATCTGTGCTATGTGCTATTTAACAGTCTTCCATTTGCCGTCTCATACTTCTTTGCAGTCCACCAGGAACAACACAAC